CAGATGCCGCTTTAGACACAAATGATACGCCGCAATCGTGCTGATTGTAGAGAGTCAAGTGGCAAGTTGTGGCCGCTGAACATGACGGATAGCGCTCTCCTGATAACTATGTAACCACATAGAGAAACGTTACACATACATACATACATATACAATGGAAAATGTATTTTCATCGTCAAATATACGAGACTTGATCTCGACAACATACGGAGGTAACGGATTCGTAGCAGAATTCCTGTTTCCGTATTTCTGGGACCATCAGGCACCACTCGCAGTTTCGCCTATTGTCTTTTCGATTCCGTAGATACACATACATGTGTGTGTGTAAGTGTGCGTTTGTGAAATGTTCATATTGTTCCGACTCCTAACTTCATTGATAGAATGCGCGCTGATGCAACTGTCGAGCTTATCGATAATTTATGGGTTACTGGTGTACCCCCGAAACACCAGACACGACTCAACTGGCATTAGCTTCGATTAGACACATCCATGGTCCAATTAGCCTTCTACAGTACTGCGAAACCGGTACTCTGTAACGGCTTTTCCCCAGAAACGTCACGCGGGAAATTGAGCGATGGTCTCGATTGATAGGTGTTCTATTGAATTATCCGATGACTGATAGTCTCCGCACATTTTCCCTTCGACCACCACACACACACACACACACACACACACACACACACACACACACACACACACACACACACACACACACACACACACACACACACACACACACACACACACACACACACACACACACACACATAGATACACAAGAGAGAAATGAATATTGGCCCTGCAATTGGGACCAAACTCTAATTCCCAAGTTGAACTCTGTAATTCCATGAATAACGTGTTTTCCCGATGTTCCACATGAGAAAGCATCTAACGGTATTTTTTTTTTTATATTTCCCCTCTTTTTTTTTTGACGCGCCAATATATTCAACTAATTTAATTTTTGTATTAGTGTCAATTTGTGTTGAGTTATTTTATTTTCGATTTTTTCCCTTCTTTTGTTGATTGAAAATGATGAAGACAATATTAGTTTGAGTTGTATTATTTTTTGGTAGTTTGTTAATTAATTATGTTTGGTAATTTCACAGAAAATTAATAGGCATTAAAATAAGCTGCAACGCTTCTTATTTTAATCCAATTTTGCTTATTTTAATCCATTTTGGTTTTAAAAGAAGCAAAATTGGATTAAAATAATTTTATATTTTTTATTATTTTAATCCATTTTGGTATTAAAAGAAGCAAAATTGGATTAAAATAATTTTATATTTTTTATTATTTTAATCCATTTTGGTATTAAAAGAAGCAAAATTGGATTAAAATAAGAAGCATTGCAGCTTATTTTAATACCTTTTAATTTTCTGTGTTTTCTGTCAGTTGTAAAAGAGAGTTTAAGTATTTCATTTAAATTTTGGTAGCAGTAAAAGTCAATTTACATCAGACAATTTTTTTTAAATTCTTCTAATTTTACTCTTTAAATTTGAATAACCGAAACTTATTATTGTTATTATTATTATTATTATTATTATTCACATATTCAAATGTAAAAAGTAGTATCAGTAGTAAAGTCAGTCAGTAGTAAAAGTAGCATTTAGTCAGAAAACTGTTTAAATTCCTGTTATTTTGGAGTCAATGGAAAATGTAAGTTATAGTTCAGAAAAATTGTTAAACTACTTTTAATCGTAGTTTCAGTAGTAAAAATAAGTTTTGGTCAGACAGAACGGTTTTATTTTATGTATTTTTAGTATCAGTAGTAAACATAATTTACCGTCAGACATATATGTTAAAGTTCTTTTAATTCTAATCACAGTAGTAAAAATCGATTTTGTCCAGACAAAATTTAAATTCCTGTTATTTTAGTATCAGTAGTAAAAGTCGGTTTTTGTCAGACCACAAAGATTGAATTTCGTCTATTTTTAATGTCGCTAGTAAAAAAAAAAAAGTTACACTCACACAATTCTGTTGAAATTCTTATAATTTTATAATCAGTAGTAAAAATCAATTTCAGTCAGACAGAATGTATAATCTCTTTTGTAAAAAATATATTTTATTATTTAATCTTATTTTAAAATAGAATATCCTTCTCTATACCGCATATTAAAATAAAAAGAATAATAATTAAAAACTCAATCTTTAATTTATAATATTATTTCCATATTTAATAAAATACATTTATTTATATATAAAAAAAAAATTAAATTAATTTTGTTCAATGCTGTTTTCTGTCAAGATGAAAATATTTTATTTTTGTATTAAAAAATATTTAATTATTCAAAAGAATTAAATTACATTTTTAATTACTATATTAAATATAATAATATTTCAAGGCTTTTAATATATTTTCTTTAGTTTTCCCATTTTCTGACACTATACGAAATTAAATTATTTCGAAATATTAAATTACGTTTCTAATTATTAATTTCTTTATATTTTCATTGCTTTCATTTATGTCTGACACTGTATGATCCCTGACTATTTACTATTTCATAACGTCCGTTTATTAATTAACTTCGACTACTTTAATAATTTTAATTGAAAATAGTTAATTACTTGAACACACATTTCAATTTTAAATATTGAAAGAAATATTTAAGTTCTTCTTCAAAATTATATTTTTTTTGACCGTAAAAACAAATCTCTGGTATTCTTTTTTAACTAATTATTATTTTTTTTCAATTATTATATTATTATAGTTATTATTTACCTTTAATACACCTTGACTCCAAAAAAATTTCCCGATGAAGAATTTGAAAATCAATTTAAAACATGCCAACAATGTTTACAAAACTCACCTGAAACAAAAGAAAAATAAATTTAATATAATATGTGACAAATAAGTCATTATATATATATATATATATATAAATTTTTAAACAAAATAAAGACTTGTTATGCCAACTGTAAAAAAGTCAAATGAAATTTTTTATCTCTACTTAATAACTCATAACAGATTTTAAAGCACCCAAAAAAAAGAGGAGAAAGAGGAAAATGGGACAGTTTGTAAGAGAAGATATAATATGAAATTTTGAGATGAGAGGACTTCATTTACGAGATTGAGATGTCGAATAAAGAAGACGAGCTTTTTCAAGCGTAAGTCATAAATCCTCTCCGAAGGAGAGTTTCGACATAATTTTCCCCGAGCTTTGTCCTTTCGTACCGTAAACATCATGTTAACTCCCAAGTAAAGGAAGCAAGGTTCGTATTATTCCCGGAAATTTAATCTCCTACACGACGGAAAATAGATGGACGAGGAATTCGCTGCGGATTGCTGGAAGCGAATCTCTCTTCTCTCTCTCTCTCTCTCTCTCTCTCTCTCTCTCTCTCTCTCTCTCTCTCTCTCTCTCTCTCTCTCTCTCTCTCTCTCTCTCTCTCTCTCTCTCTTTCCAAACCCATGTGTCGTTTCAGCCAGGAGAATATATTTCAGTTCTAGTATTTCTTGACCATTGGTATAATTTACTAAGGCTATCACTCGTCGCGGATTTGAATTTTTAATGCCCCAGGGAGTCACCAGAGCTATATATGCTCTCCCGTAGATCGTCGCTGCAAAGGCAGAGGTACTCAATCTTCTTGGGATCGTTTCTTTTAACTTTTTCGTGCAGACGCAAAGCCTGAACACGAACTTTTCTGATCGCCCAGAAGGTCGCTCTGTGCAAAACTGCATGTCAAATTCTCTATCTCGCTTCACTTTTATCCCTTTCTCAACAAAGTTCAAGTTTCGCGGTATTTTTTTTTGTAACCCCTTCTCTATGTAAATTAATAAGTTTTCAAAATTTTTTTTTATTGTAAAAATGAGTTAAATTTTTTTTTTCTTTGTAACTTTTTCTTCTTATAATGATCTTTTAAATAACTTTTTTATATTCATTTTTTTAAATTTTTACTATTGTGGCACGATTATTACTTTAAAAAAAAATATATATATTTTACTATGTAACTACAAGGGTAATGTAAAACTTGTTTATTTAAGTTTTTAGAACTTTAAAAATAAAAATTTTTAAAAAAAGTATTAACAACGAACAAGAAAGCTATATATTGCTTTTAAGATTGTTTACTTTCACAAGTCTTTTTGACGTAGCAGTATATTTTCAATAGGTAAACATGTTCGTTGATCGAAAGAGCCTTACTGTCAACTTTTCCTCCCATATATTCTTGTTCGATACTTAAAGATAAGCTGATTACCTAATAAGAGAAAAGTTCAATGACAGCATCAAAATATTTCTCAAATAAAAATATATTAATAAAAATAATAATAATAATACTAAACATTATATAATAATTTATAATAATATATAATAATATATAATAAAAATTATATATTAAAAACAATGTTGTTTCAAAAAATTTGTGCAAATTTAATAGCAAGATATGTTTTAATTTTCAGTAGTACGAATCGATTTTCGTCAGACAGAATATAAAATAAAATAAAAATAATTATTTTCTATTTTCAGACTACTCTAAACTTTAATGATCTTTAATACGTAATGTAACATTGAAATTTTCTTTTAGTTGATTAATTTTTCATATTTTAATACTGAAATACTTTAATACACGATGTATCATTCTTTTTATATATTCTTTTTACTTTCTATAAATTTTACAGTATTATTCAATTTTCTTTTACAATATTTCCCATATGGATTGTAATTAATGTTATTAAATAATTCAATCCCATTAAAATACTGATTAAAATATTTTATTTATTCTAAAGAAAATAATTTTCTACTATCGTTCAGTGTAAATAAATCCTATTATATATATACATATATGAAAATTAATATAAATTTTTTTAAATTATTTTTTGAAATTATTTCAATTGTAATAATAATTTTACTGAAATTTATTACGTATTTTAAATATAATAAAACAAAAGGTGAGAAATGCAAATTTTAATCGATAATTTTCTTGTGGTAAGAGAGACATATGTTTCAAACAATGGCTCTTCATTACGAAAACAAACATTAATGGTTTCTCTCTTGGTTTATCAACAGAAGACGGAGAAAACGGAGAATTCGATACGGTTGACGGAACTTACTTTGGGAAGTTCCGGCCAATACAAGTGCGAAGTATCCACGGAGGCACCAAACTTCGCCACAACTTATCGCAAGGCAAATCTCACAGTCATTGGTGAGTAAAAAAAAAACAAGAAACTTTACACCTAATGAAAATTAATTAATTTTCGATGTAATTTACTTTTTCTATTTGTTTTTTTTTTCACCAACTTTTATCATCCTTTATTTTTTTTTAATTTGTATTTTAGTTTTTAATTTCAATTTTTGTAGTTTAAACATTTTTCTGTAAAATCTATTTCAAATATAGAATTTTATAAATACTATTAAAATATTTAAAAAAATAAATCTATTTTGAAATTCGTTTTTTTTAATCAAACTTTTCCTAGCAACGTAAAGGAGATGTTGCAATCTCTCATATATATATACAATGAGCATAAATCGCAATTAACCGTAAATTAGGCAAGTTTTCTTGGGAATAACTTTCTAAGCATAAGTCTAAATGACTGAATATATTTGTTGGGACGGGTGGCGTACTAATTTAACCTCAATTACAATGTTCATTGTGTAAGAAGGTATGCCATGAAACATCATATTTCAAAAGCTATGTGCTTTCCAGAATACGCCAATATGAAAGTCCGCGAGCATTCTCTCTCTCTCTCAAATTCTCTCTCTCTCTCTCTCAAATTCTCTCACACACTGAGCTTTGGCCGACCAAAGGTCGACCTCATCCACTTACAATCTGGCAACAGAGGTACCAGTGTAGCAGAATCCGCATGGAAGCCCCGAGCTGCTTTTATTCCTTCCTGCAAAATACGAGGACCATGAATATGTATAAGAACAATTTTCATTTGCGATAATAATACATTCCGAACAAAGTTATGTGTCCTGTTGGGGGAAAAAATATCGGTTCGCTATCTAGCCGAGAATTTATAAGAGTATATTCGCTTTCTCAATTTTTATCATTTTTGAACAAAAAAAAAAAAAAAATATAATCTATACTAACGGAAAATCTAAATTTTTAACCAAAATTTAAAAATTAATCTAGTTTGACAAAAAAATAAATTACAATTTTTTTTTTTTTTTAATATAAATTGAAATAAACCAATCGCACATCCCAATCAATCAGTTTCAACAAGATTTGTTTAATAGTGAAATCTTTTTTACGATAAAATGAAATTCATTTTATCAATTCAATCTATAAAACGCTGCGAGTTATTAAAAATTGTAACAATTTTATTTCGTGAAACGCTCCCTTGTATATTTTACCATCAATGGAATTTTCTATTTTATGCTTTTATAAGTTTCAAATGAAAAAAAAAAAAAAAAAAAAAAAAAACTCACAAAATATATTAAACATCGACTAATATTCTTCATTGAATTTCGATTAATTTCCTCTCCAATTATAACGATGAAAATTAGAAAAAAAAAATTTATTTTCAAATTGAAAAAATTATTTTCATGAAAAAAAAAAAAAATTCGTTTTTCTCAATATTTTCAAAGCAAACATTAATCGTCAACAGAGAAAATTGAATTTTCGATGATAATTTTCTTAATTTACGAAAGAGATAGAGAGAGAGAGAGAGGAAATATTTCCGGTTGACTTTACGACATGTTAAGACAATTAACATTGTTGATATAATGCGCATCGCTCGCGGAAACATCTGCGGAAATAATGTTTGTCTTCGCGAGATTCGTTCTATCAGGCACGTCACACACGTTTGATTCTTCCCACTGGGCGTAAATCACAAGCGAATAACGAGAGGGTTGAAAAAAAGCAAATATATATATATATATTCATTCTCACCAATGCGAATTTGGAACATTGAACGAGAGAAGCGACAAAATTTGTATCTGTCTACGTGTGAACGTGCGCGAGAGAGATGAGAAAAAAAAACCGGTAGGTCAGAAAAAAAAATTTACATCATTTATCACCATTTATCATCGAGCGTATTTCTAACTGTATGTAGTCCTATCGAATTCTACGATTGATACTGGCAAAATTTGCTATACTCACGTAAACAAAACAAAAAAAAAAAAAAAAAAAAAAAAACTTCCCGACAATTCTGATTGACCGACGAAACTTAATTTCACTCGCTTGTTGTTATTAACGTCTATTCCTCCATTTGTACGAAAATTAAAAAAATAAAAAAAAAGAACAGCGATGTTGATAAAGCGCCGAGTACATGTAAAAGCGATTTATGTCCTCGAATCAAAAGTCGCGAATGCACACTTTCATTTTGCCTTTGAAAAATAATTGTTTTGGCTAGAAAATTTATTTTTGTTCAATTATTTTAATTTTGTCAAAAAAAAAAAAAAAAAAAAAAAAAACATTTTCGCATTGAAAAAAAAGATTTTGTGTTTCCAACAAAATCATTTCGTTAATGAATTTTGGTTCTTGTAACGAAATTTTAATTGGCTGAAACAAAGTCATAGAGTTATTTCAATCAAACATTTGGTTAGTCCCACAAAATTATTTCGTTGTACATTTTTAAATTTCAACCAAAATTTTGTTACGACAACAAAATAATTTGATTAACACAACAAAATATTTGTTGGTTTGATCAAACATTTTTGATGATCTAATTAAAAAAAATTTTGGTTGAACTAACCAAACATTTTTATTATGTCAACAAAAAATACACAATCAAATTTTTGATTGACTCAAACAAATAAATTGCTTATAAATAACAACAAAATTTTGTTGTTGTCCCAAACAAATTTTAGTTCTCTCAGTGCGAGAAAAAAAATGTTTCGAATTTAAAAAAAAAAATTTGAAAAAATATTTTGTGAGATAAAAATATATAGATAAATATTATGATATGGATCACTAGTCGAGATATAAAAAAATTCTAATTGTAATTGTAAATGAAAAGAGAAAGATCTTTTAACGTTAAAAGAATATCAACAGTAGAAAGTGAAATAGTGAACTAATTTTTAATGTTATGGAATCGTTCACTCTAAGCTAAATAATCAAGAATCTCCAAGGAGAAAAAATAATATATCTTTCGTAATCCCAGCCATGGATTCCTACGAGTTGAGAGGCTTTTCCAGGGAAAATATAGGCTCCTGGATTATGCATGAGCCGCACGAAGCGGGATTTGGTTTTCCCTCGATCGTTCACCTTCCAACATTCGTTGTTGCATTTCGAGCTGAGAATATTCATCGTTCGACAAGGATTAAGGGCACCAACATTCGAAATTGCCAGACAAACCACTTTACTCATATCTCACGAGCCAAGATACTTTTTTTTCCTCTAACCACCCCACCCCCTGTCCCCCATATCTAAACCCCCTCCCCCACCACTCTTTTCCTCTTCACTATCTCTCGCGCTTTATTTCTCCCAGAATCCTGAATTCATCAATTTAAATCGACTTTTATTTTACACTTTTCTTTCTGATTAATTTATATTCGAAGACTTTCAAGTGTTTCTGATCCCTTTTTAATTAAATTTCCGAACAAAATCGTATTTCAAACGAGATTCATCTCAAAGGGGAACTACTTTTATAATTTTTTTTTTGTTTTATTTATTTTTATTTGTTGTTGTTAATTTCAGGTTTAATGTGATTTTTTTTTGAAATAAAAGTTGTTAGATACTTGATTAATTAAAAATGGTAATTAACAGAAAGTTAACAAGTCTGTCTTAATATTGTACCATTAAAAAAGTTACAAACGTTTGTAAACTCTAACTTAATATTTACTTGTACTACTGATTTAAAAAAAATAATAATTTTTTTTACTAGAACTAATTTAAACTACAAGTAAAATTACAAGGTCTGACTAATTATATTGACTTGTACTACTGAAAAATTTTAAACTCTGACTAAATATTTTCTTATACTACTAAATAAATTACAATGGTGTATATTTTGCTACTGATAAAATTAAAAGCTCAAAAGTTTGACTAAATATTTACTTTTACTACTGATAAAATTAAAAGCTCAAGTCTGACTAAATATTTATTTGTACTACTGAAAAATTAAAATATCAAAAACCTAACTAAATATTTACTTTTACTACTGATAAAATTAAAAGCTCAAAAGTCTGACTAAATATTTACTTGTACTACTGAAAAATTTAAATATCAAAATCCTGACTAAATATTTACTTTCACTACTGATAAAATTAAAAGCTCAAAAGTCTGACTAAATATTTACTTCTACTACTGACAAAACTAAAAACTCAAAAGTCTGAATAAATATTTACTTGTACTACTGAAAAAATAAAGCCTACCTAAATATTTACTTGTACTACTCAATAAATTCCAAACATGTAAATAATCTGACTACATATTTACTTATACTACTGAAAAATGAAACTGTCAGAAGTCTGATTAAATATTTACTTTTACTACTTGTTTTTTTTTAGTAATATTCTTTACCAAATATGGTTTGATCTATAAATAAAATTAATTATTAAACAAAAACTAATATTTTCATAAATAATTAATTATTAGAAAAATACATTATTTTAAAATCTTTTAATTATTTTATAATAAAAATAATTTTTTTTTAATTAATTTGATTTTCAAATGAAACTTGTCATTTATAAATATATATATATATATATATTATATTTATATTAATCAAGTACAAGAATATACTTGTTGATTTGTAGCGAAAAACTATATAATTATATTTCTCTAATTGTAAATACAAGTTTTCAAGTACTTCGTGTAACGCTTTACACACCCGGGAGATTGAAATCTACCTGTTAACAAACTGTTTTAATTAGCATTTCTATTTCTCATTACATCTAGAAAACTTGGCAAAAATATAAAGAGTTTTTTTTAATTAAAAGAAATCTCTTCATTATTATTTATAATTAAAAACCATAAATTCATAAAAGTTTTAACTAATAACAATTATTATTATTATTATGAAAAAATTTCATTTTTTCACGTATGTAATTATAATTTAATTTCTAATTAATTTTTCATATTTTATATTTATTTCCTCTATAATTAAATAATTAAAATTTAATACTTAATTTTTTAACATTTTTTCTATTTTGAAATCTTTTCCTGTTCCAGGTAAATTGATTTTTTTTTTATCTCAACATCTGGATGAAAGTTCAAAGTAATTAGTATTAATATGCGAAAGACATTTATCGAGATAT